TATAAATACAGTATAAGCATTTATCAAAATTTATAAACAAAGCAATTCTAAAACATATTAGAATATAAACGATATACATACCAATTAAAAATTAATGATTATGTATATGTCAGATTTTTATTAGGATTAAATTGAACGCAATGTAAGAATAAGTATTAGCAATGATGCATATATTAATTTGGCACACAGCATATAAAATTATGATAGCTATATTTTATCCTATTTTATTTTAAGTTATCTTTTAGGTTAACCAGATATCTTAATTATTTATCTGTTAATGAATTTTATAATCTGGTTATCTGGGTAACCTAATGGTTAACCGGTTACAATACCCTAGGGTATGACCACTACTTCAAGGACCACAAGCAATATGGCTTATTAGGCTTGGACTCGGAAAAGGAAAAACATTGGAAGAGATCCAGTCAATATCCCAATTTGTTCTAGAAGATAGTCGTATATTTAGAACGTGGATAAAGCATACAGATATTATAAAAGCATGTAAGGAATTATTTGAAGATGCAGTAGACTGACAATTTCAGGAAGAAATAATTAATGAAGAAAGAAAGTGGGAATCTCTAGAATCGCTTAAAATAGTTGAGTTAGCAGAACAGGTATTTGGTGCTAATCATGCTGAAGGCAAACTTGCCAACGAGATCAATGATTAGCATCTTACTTCGGCTAGTGTACATAAAAATATAAAGCAATCTTGTGTCGAACATGGGCATGGAAGACGCTGGAATGCACCTAATTATCAAGTCGAAGATGTTGTATATATAGATATGAAGGAATATTATCTAGCAAGCATACGTGGTCAGAGAGAATGTTCACCATGGTTCAAATGATATGGCTATCCAACACATCATCTTGTTCGAGTGGCAGTGAATGGAGAATCGCCACAAAATGATATTATAGAATTTGCACAAGTAAGATCTTTCAAATTTGTCTCTAATATTCATCCAGCAATTCCTGTTTGATATGGAAAGCATTTTGCTTGTTGAAGTGGAGAAGGATGTGGGAAGGCAAAAGGCTGGACTCCTATCGTACTTCTACGATATCTTCTTGAAGCAGGTATCCTAGAAAGTGTAACTATAGAAGAAGCCATTATTTCTCTTACCAAGCAGACAAAAGTATGGTTGCCTAAAAATCAGGATATAAGTTGTGCAATCATAGAAAAGTTCACACAAGGAAATAAAGTTGAAGAAAAACGCCTTACTCACCGGGTTGTAATAGACGAAGGTGAACTTGATTTCTTGATCCAGGATTGCATTAAAGAAGGAACATATACAGGTAGTAATAAATGTTTGCTTGGACATATACTTACATACTATGAAGGCCATCAGCCTCAATATACACATTTGCGAGCCTCAATATTAGCTTACGCCCATATAAACTTACTGGAAATGCTTTGAAGATTTGGCCCTAATGAAGTAGTAAGAATCGCAACAGATTCTATATATATACAAAGAGAGGCCTTATATAAGATTGAAAATGTATCTGCCTTCTTTAAGCAAGTTAAGCAAAAGATTAGCTATCCCAAAGATTCAGTAAATACTAGTAAATTTCTATGTCTACACGACTGGCATTCATGTGCAGTATGTAACAACCCATTGTTTATAGAATCGGTTAAAATATTCCAAAAAACTAAAATGCCTTTAGCGGTAGAAGAATATTTTCCATGTAGCAAACATAAACCATTTGTTTGTCATGATTGCTTTTGGGATTGGTATGCTCATAAAGGTTTTGGGAGAGTTATCCCTGATAAGAAGCCATCTAGCAATACTAGTATAGCTATTACTAAAATATCCGAACCTCTAAAAGAAAAGGTTCTTTCAGAACCGATTAAAGAAATACAACCTGAATAATGGCATGATAAAGGAGAAAAAATTCATAGTCCAGATCCTAATGTTGTATACTGGCCAAAAAATAGGCATTGGAAATTGATTAAAGATATTACCGAAAGTACTGTACCATCAATTCATGATCCTATTACAAGATCCCAAGTTTCTTATCTCAATGGAGATGGTGGTTCTGGAAAAACAACACGTGCAATTCGAATCTTTAAAGACATAAACATGGTAGTCTTTACTCATACAAATGTATTGCTAAAGACTTTTAAAATGACCGTAAGGTAAAAGCCCAAATTTGGCATAGTTTCTTTAGATAAAATAGTGTAGGAGAGTGG